TCTACGCGGCACACTTACCTGCTGCTCCTGCACTCGATTTTCATGGGGCTGCTCGGCTCCGCCCCCTCGCCGGTGATTGGCCGCCTGTGTGCCTTTCCTGAGCTACAGTTCTGGCGGCCAATCACCGGTGAGGAGGCGGAGCCGAGCAGCCGCACGAACATCCAGTGGCCGAAACTGAAGGAGCAGCCGCGCTTCCTGGACCGGATCGTCGTGGGACCGGAGCCAGGTAAGAGACAGCAGCCCCTGCCCACCCCTGTACTTAGTGTCCCTTCCGTTGGAAGGGGGGGGGGGCGACGGCGGCACCGCGCCGCCCCCCCCTAAAAAGTGTCAGTATGCCGTATTCCGGCGTATAAGACGACCCCCGACTTTTGAGAAGATTTTCAAGAGTCAAAAAGTCGTCTTATACGCCGGCAAATACGGTATATAGGATTTAAATAGTGCCAACAGTTTGCTCAGCACTTTACAATATGACGGGAGACAATACAGCAACAATACAGTTCAATACAAGAGGGTTAGGAGTGCCTTGCTCCTTGGAGCTTACAATCTAAGAGGGCGGGGCGAGTGGTACAAAAGGTAATAACTGTGGGGGATGGACTGGAAGGAGGAATAGAAGATTCCATTATTAGCATGGGCAGGATAGGCTTCTCTGAAGAGATAGGTTTTCAGAGATCGCCTAAAAGTGAGCAGAGTAGGCGATAGTATGATAAATTGGGTTAGAGAGTTCCAGAGGATGGGGGAAGCTCTTGAGAAGTCCTGGAGACAAGCATGGGAGGAGGAGACAAGGGAGCTAGAGAGCAGGAGGTCGTGCGAGGAGCGGAGAGTCCATTTTGGGTGATATTTGGAGACAAGATTGGTGATCTAATTTGGGGCAGAATTAAAAATGGCTTTATATGTTATTGGTAATGTTTTGAATTTTATCCATTGGGCAATGGGAAGCCAGTGGAGGGATTGGTAGAAAGGGGTGGCAGATATGGAACGGTTAGTAAGGTGGATGAGAGTCTCTGGCAGCAGCATTCAGGATAGACTAAAGTGGGGATAGCCTGCGATGAGGTAGGCCAATGAGGAGGGAGTTACAACAGTCAAGGTAAGAGATAACAAGGGAGTGAATAAGTTGCTTAGTGGTTTCAGAGGTTAAGAATGGGCGTATCTTGGAGATGTTGTGGAGGTGAAGTCTACAAGATTTGGACAGTGATTGGATTTGGGGCTACAATGGTCCAAAAAAAGAGAAAATATCCAGTGAGCAGCAGTTGTGTGGATGCAAATGCCTTGTTGATTTCAGAAGAGAATGGGCAGACTGGTTGCTGCAACATTCAGATGGTAGGGTCAGAATTTGGTGTAAACAACATGAAAGCAAAAATTATCCTGCCTTGTATCAACGGTTCAGGCTGGTGGTGGTGTAATGGTGTGAGCAGGGGCAAACTGACTATTTGGAAACTCGGGCACTGCCCGAGGGCCCGGGTCAGTAGGGGGCCCCATGAGATACCCCTGGTACCTTTTTCATAGGCTTTTTTGAGTTTGGGCAAGGACTCAGGGGCCCCATGATCCCTTATTGCCCGGGGGCCCCATGAGTTGTCAGTCTGCCCCTGGGTGTGAGGGAGATTTTCTTGGCACTAGCAAGGTGTACCTAATAAAGTGGCTGGTGAGTGTATATTTGGACTGTTTTGCTGCAATGTTCTGCTTCCGATAATGCTACAATATTTGAAAAGAGTTGATGTAAAAATTCATGCACCATACCTGGATCCATGATCATTCTAATACACAGAATTTCTTCTGTTTCAGAAGCTTTGTTATTGAATTAGACTAGAGCTATGGATCATTAAACCTATATGCTAATTGGAGATTTAACCACTTTAATTTCAGTGTGCTGCAAATAAGCTTACTCCCAACAATTGGTTAAAAATCCAATAGCAAAGCTATTGAATCACCCGTGTAGAAAATCCTGTGGATGATAGTCATGTTGTATTTTTAATTTTTTTTGCTTTACATCACACACAGATGGCCCTGATAGTCTGTTTTAGATTATCCTATGTGAGGCATTGGCTGTAAGGATTGGGGTATGTGCAGGGGCGGACTGATAACTCATGGTGCCCCCGGGCAATAGGGGATCATGGGGCCCCTGTGTCCTTGCCCAAACTCAAAAAAGCCTATGAAAAAGGTACCAGGGGCATCTCATGGGGCCCCCTACTGACCCTGGGCCCTCGGGCAGTGCCCGAGTTTCCAAATGGTCAGTCCGCCCCTGGGTATGTGTCGCTTAGGTTTTTTATACACAGGATAAGGGGCTCAAGGGTTTGTGTCTCTGACTTTATTAAAGTTCTCAGATTTTAAAGTGGAATTAAGCTCTGCTGACAGTCAGAATTTTCATGACAGAAGAGATTCTATTGGTTTCTTCTGTCATAAATCCCTCTCCCTGCCTGTCAGCAATAAAGTTCTCTGCTGCATGAGCAGCTTAGAGTACATTTATCCTGCCTATCTTTGCCGTGATGAAGTGACTCCTGTACACATGCATGGGAATGACATAATATCGCGGCCCAGCCATTCAAGCAGGGAAATGGAGCGCAGCCAGAAGGAAGACCAGGAGAAGACGGAAGTGCTAACAACGCAGCACTGGAGAGCTCCGTTTGACAGGTAAGTCTGTCATAATGTGCTAGTATGCTGTGCACACTAGCACATTATGGCATAAACCTCCTGGGGGCCCATTTAAAAAAAAAAAAAAAAGCTATAGCGAAGTTTAATTCTGAAGTTCTGGTGTGGGTCTGAGGCCTGGAGGCCTTGTAGAGGTAAAGCTTTAATTCACCGACCAGATAGACACATTATCATCGTTATTTGAGAAAAAAAGATTCTTTCCATGGTTAAATCCCAGGAGCATAACTTTTGTTTATACTTTTCTTATGGTAGACTCGCAAACACAGATGTGATAAAGCAAAAGAGATGCATGTCAATTCTTGGCAGACAATCAAGGATTCCTTGCTACATATCTTTGGATTTTACATAGTGCCTTGGGAAATTTTTAATAAGAAACTCACTCCTAGGGGAAATAACGACATTGCTTAAATTGCATCATTTGAACGTATTATCCTGCCTATGGATGGATTTAAAAATCCTTATGGAACCTTCTCCAGTGTTATGAACCTCCATTACTCTTCTGCAGATCTTTGGAACTACTAAGGTATGTGTACCCCTAGGAATGGCCCTGACAAGCTGAAGGGGTGCTTCTACTCTTTAGAGTGACTTCATAATACTTCAAATATCTTTAGAGATTTAAAAAAATATTACATTATGGTAAAATAATATTAACAAATCTTAGTTTGAAAAGCCTTACAGAATTTTTACCAAACAGGTAGCATTAGGGGTTCTAGAAATAAAGGGGTACAATCTGACTTAAACCAAGTTGTAGTTGGTAAACATTGGCTTTAATATAGGGTATATACACTTACTGACCACTTTATTAGGTACACCTGTTCAACTGCTTGGTAACACAAATTGCTAATCAGCCAATCAAATGGCAGCAACTCAATGCATTTAGGCATGTAGACATGGTGAAGACGACTTGCTGAAATTCAAACCGAGCATTAGAATGGGGAAGAAAGGGGATTTAAGTGACTTTGAACATGGCATGGCTGTTGGTGCAAGACGGGCTGGTCTGAGTATTTAAAAAACTGCTCATCTACTGGGATTTTCTTGCACAACCATCAGTAGCATTTACAGAGAATAGTCCAAAAAAAAGAAAATACTCAGTGAGCGGCAGTTGTGTGGATGAAAATGCCTTGTTGATGTCAGAGATCAGAGGAGAATGGGCAGACTGGTTGCTGCAACATTCAGATGGTAGAGTTAGACTTTGACATAAACAACATGAAAGTATGGATCTATCCTGCATTGTATCAATAGATCAGGCTGGTGGTGTAATGGTGTGAGGGAGATTTTGTTGGCACTAGCAAGTTGTACCTAATAAAGTGGTCGGTGAGTATACCTGAGAAACACTGATCAGACCATATTGCACCTTAACATAGTTCTGTTGTGAAAAAAGTAAAATTAAAATTGTGTAACATCTTACTTCTTTAAACAGCAGGTCAAGCCACATTTGAATTGACCAAAACACTCAACTCATTCAGTGGATTACCAATTGCTATTTTTCATATGTCATTCTTCCAAAGGTTATTAGTTTTTTTTCATCAATTAACCTGATTTATTTGAAAATATTTGTTCAGTTAAAAATACAACAAAATTGAGTGTTTGTGATAAATGTTTTATTGTATTAAGGCTTAGATTATAATTTTATATAGTTTTATTTAAAAGATTTAGTTAAAGTGTTCCTAAACCCACAACAGTTAAATCAGGCTGTATATGCAGTAAAGCATGCTTGTTATACTCACTGTGGAACCTAAGAGGTTAATCCTCTGCATTGTCTAAAAAGGCAGTTTGATCCTTTCTTCTCTGTTACTCCCCTTTTTTAAGCAACCACCTCTTATCTCCTGATAAGACAGATTAAACCATTGGCATGTTGCACATGCTCAGTTTGGTGTGTATTGCTAGAGAGGGTTCTTTTTTTCCTTGGGAGAGTGCATGTGATCAGCACAAGGCCAATCAGCACTATCCAGACAGAGGACAGGAGTTCTGCATCCTTCTAGAGCAGAAAGAAAACTCCTCCTACAAGCTTTAGCTAGAGCTTGGCTGAACACTGAATCCACAAGACTGCTCTAACTTCTGATGAGAAAAGGTATTTAGCAGTTTGTATTTACTAAAATAATTGCATTTCCATGTTCTGTGTACTGTGGGAGACCAGATAGAGTGAATGCAGGTTCCGGGGTTTAGTAATACTTTTATAAAAGAGTAGAGAACGTTTACTTAGGTAATAATTTTTTACTGCTTTAGTAAATCCTCTCATCTCATTCAAATACCTAGAAAATTCCTTAGGATTTACAAATATTTTCTTGAAAATGATGTGTGATTAGTGGGTGGAAAGCAGCAAATGAGTAAAAAAATAAAATACAACTGTACATTACCCAAGATATTTTCATGACGTAGTAAGACTGTGTTGTAAATTTCTGTTTCTCTGAACCATGACTGTTCATCTCGAGAAGAGAATATCTTTACGGCCACGTTTTCCCCCTGCCATGTGCCTCTCCATACTTCCCCATATCGCCCCTTACCTGAGAAATTGAATAATTAAACATTCTGTTACATTTGCTGATATTGTGCATCAAGATACATTTGTTTTCAAATGTTGCCAAGATATCAAATATAATGGCTAACCGACATTCACCTGAAATATTGTAATACATAAAAAAAGAGAAAATACAGTTATACAGAACTCTTCCCTTGTTACCACATATTCAACTAGCTTCTAACATTTGATGTCTGATAACTTGATCATACTAAAAAGATGATTACTTGTAGAAAAATGTATTTAAAAAAAATAAAGAGCTTATATTCATTGCAAGTAGTACAAGAATCATACCATATATGGGGCCATCAAGAAAAGATAAAAACTATTGAATAATATATTTACAGATTCTTAACACACCTGTTCACTTCTTGCGGTTTTGTGAGTGTTCTGTTTGCTGAGATATCCAGTCAATTTGTTTTTAATTTCTAGGTAGGATGAGTAAAAATTAAAATATCTGCCATGTTTATTGCCATCTGTTTTCCTGTCACATTATTTGACAGTGGTGCCAAGAACTGCACAGTTTTAGATCTGGGTCCCTCTCTATAAAGCTCACCACATATGTTACAATCTGATTGTGCAATCTTCTATAGATCAGCCAACAACTATGTAGTGCAAGGGCCTGCATGATTGGATACACATTGATCGCATTGATACTCTGGTTTTGGTAAATCTAAAGTTGATTGTACAAGGATTGTGTGGACAACTTGTAAGGCGTATGATGATCCTAAGGGCTCAGCGTGTGAAACAATAATGTAAACCAGTGTTTCTCAACCTTTCTTCAGTCAAGGCACCCTTTAAATTTATGGACAGTCTTGAGGCACCCTATTCTAAAATGTGAAAAACTATTCTAATAGTTTTATATAACGCAGCAATATCCACACACATAGGGCACCCAACATTAGAGGTGATTCATTCTTTCAAAAAAACAAAACTTTTGCACACTGGTACTGACTAGTATTCCAGTGTTTCTCTTCTCCCTCAGTTTTTCTTCATCACTGAGCTAATGTGACCCCAACATTGATGGAGAGGGGCAGGGAAGGGTCAAACTAAGATGCTGTGCAGGCAGCTGGCAGCTAGAAGGTGGTAATGGTGCACAATGAAAATCTCTGGCTTTGTGTAACTAAAAGGCAGGCTTCTTCCACCCACTGGCTTGTATACAAGTTTTGGGCAATTTTTAGACATTTTGTTAAGGCACCCCTGAAGAACCCTCAAGGGGGGTGCCTGGGCACCCTAGTTGAGAAGGCTGATGTAAACATTCACTGCTATAGTATTTTAGGATTAACATTTAAAGTAAATGTTAGGATTGGGTAATGCTTGTTTCACATGGACTTCAGCTGGTATAAGAGCAGTGTGAACAACAAACTTTGACAAAACATTTGCAGAACTCTCAGCAAGCTTTGTTGAAGCTTTTAAAGTACCATTCAACTCCAGCTTGTAGTTGTTGAACACAGATCCTAATGTGAGTGTAGTTTGCCAATTTAACAAGCTGCTAGCACACTTTAGCAGTCTTTCAAAAAGTGCTGAAGCCTGCTAGCAGCTTGCTTAGAGTCGCAATCAACACTTCAATTAAAATATGTGTAAATATTGACAAACTGGAGCTGATTGGCACTTTAAAAGCTTTAATTAAGTATGCTGAAAGCTCTGAAAATGCTTTGCAAAAGCTTGCTGTTCACACTTCTTTTCTACAAGCAGAAGCCTGTAATAAATAGGCCTTAAGGTTAAGCTGAAGTTTCACATGGGCTTCAGGAAAAGGTGTTAGATGATATGTTTTCTACTTTTAGGAACACTCACAGAATCCCTCCCCTTGTTTCTATCATTGTGTTAAAGCAGTACACACAGGAGTACATTGAGTTTGTATACATCAGCTTGTGACAAAAACATAGTTTCTTGCACCATTTACCAAGTGTTGCCTGCCATTAATGCTTGGCAAATGCTCCAATGGCATTGTACTGGAACACCATACAAATGCCCATGTGTACTTGTAAAGCTTTGGAGAAAGCAAACACAAAATATAAAAGCATGCCCTAATGCTGCCAGCCTGAGTCCTCACTGGCATGTGTTTTAATCGATTGCCTTCATGGGCCTCAACACACAAGCATCATGTCCACCCAGCATTCATCATTTTAAATCTCATCAGTTTACCATTGATCTCTCTTCTGACTGAATTTATGGAGGCTGTGTGAAGGAGTTGTTGGACAGAACTGTTGCTGCAATGTCAGTGAGAATGCATGATGTGTTTCAAGGTATTCTGTTCAATTAAAAAAACACTCTGCCTCGCAGTTTAGAGCTAAAAGACTTCCAGTTTGTGTATTATGGCATGCTGCTAATGCCTCTTTATTCATGACCCTAGACTGACGTCTTCTTAGACATTATACAAATCTTCCTATTCAATTTTCTTTGGATTTACCTTCAACTATGTAGCACAAGGGCCTGCCTGACTGCATACAAATTGAAAGTGTTTAGGTTTGACCTCATATTATATAACTTTGGTAAATCTAAAAGAAAATTGAACAGGAAAATTGTATAATGTGCAGCCAGCCTTAGGTAAGACATTTTATGTTAATGTGTATTGTAGCCTATAGCTGTCACTGACCTATCAGAACAGTATAAAAAAAGCGGAAAAGTAAATAGTCGCTATGGTCAAAATACATTTCCCTATACATCAGATTTCCCAGGGAATAGTAATATTTTTGGCATGCGCTGCTGTCTTCTTCTTTCATCATCTCTTATCATGGATACATTCATACAAGACTTATCTAGGTCTGCAGAATATATCTGTCATCCTTAATCCAGTTTTCTCCCAGCTCTCATCAAAATAATATACAGTATATCCTTTCAGTAAATCCTATCTGCTGTACAGAATATATGCAGACAGAGAATCACTTGATTCTACCCTAGGTGACAGGGTGACCCTGATAATAATTATACAAATTATACGCAAAATCAAACCGCTCTTGTTAATGGTTATCTTACTTTTCAAACTGGGAAGATTAAAAAAGAGTTAACTACACTAAGGGATCATTCACATCAAAATGTATGCGGTAATGTGCACTGCATTGTTGTGTGCTAAAATGCATTTTACACATATCATGTAACATTTTTGAGAGACTGTTTTTGAAGGTGTCTTTAACCACTAGCCTACAGGGCACTTATACCCCCTTCCTGCCCAGGCCAATTTCCAGCTTTCAGCGCTGTTGCACTTTGAATGACAATTGCGCGGCCATGCAACATTGTACCCATATGAAATTTTTATCATTTTTTGTTACAAATAGAGCTTTATTTTGGTGGTATTTAAGCACCTCTGAGTTTTTTATTTTTTCTTAAACAAACCAAAAACCACTGAAAATTTTGGAAAAAAAAGTTTTTTCTTAGATTTTGTTATAAAATTTTGTAAATAAGTGATTTTTCTCCTTCACTGATGTGCGCTAATGAGCCTGCACTGATAGGCTGAACTGAACTGATAGGCTGAACAGTGGCACTGACTGGCACTGTTAGGTGGCACTGACTGGCACTGTTAGGTGGCACTGATAGGCGGCACTGACTGGCACTGTTAGGTGGCACTGACTGGCACTGTTAGGTGGCACTGATAGGCGGCACTGACTGGCACTGATAGGTGGCACTGATGCACACTGATAGGCGGCACTGACTGGCACTGATAGGCGGCACTGACTAGCACTGATAGGTGGCACTGATTGGCAGCACTGATAGGTGGCACTGACTGGCATTGATAGGTGGCACTGACTGGCACTGATGGGTGACACTGAAAGGCAGCTCAGATGGGCACTGATATGTGGCACTGATGGGCACTGAAATGTACCACTGATGGGCACTGGCAGGTAGCATGGATGATCACTGACAGCTGGCTCTGATGGACACTGACAGGTGGCACAGCTGGGGCTACACAGATTATCAGGGCACACTGATCTTCAGTGCCCTGATTATCTGTGTACATGTCCCCTCTGAGGAATGCCGATTACCGTCTCTCCTCTCCTCACGAGCTGTCAGCGTGACAGCTTGTGAGGAGAGAAACGCCGATAACCGGCATTTCCCTGTTTACATGTGATCAGCTGTGATTGGACACAGCTGATCACATGACTGAGCTAACATCTTTGGCTCTTTCCCGTTGACTGGTGATCCGCTGTGTCCGAGGGACACAGCGCGCTGCCGATCGCCGCGCTACGCGCTCCCGGAGCCGCGCACGCGCTATTAGAGTGGGAGGACGTCCTATGACGTCCTCCCAGAACGAGAGAACCGCCTTGCATCTGTCATTTTACTATATGGCAGGCAGGAGGCGGTTAATGGCAAATGCAGACCAATGCACCCAAAACACAGCATGTAAGACTTTTTGCAACGCATTGATGGAAACACACACTAACAACTTGGTCAAGTTTACACAATTTTTCTGTGTTGGCAAAATGCCGGAGAATGTATTACAACTGCTTTGGTTTGAATTAACACTGAGGTCACTCCTAATTTATCCATGATCTTCAAATACAGCTACTTACTACACTAGTTATTGTAGAATGAGCTGTCCAAATGCACTTGTATTTCCTGAAGACACCACATCGCCCATTACAACTGTCATGCAACTGTTCATCTCACTGAAAAGAGTATTATTATCAGAGACTCTGTGTAACATGGGTGCTTTAGTTCTTTCATTCAGACCTATTTTTTTCTTATTCTCATACAATCTAACCATTAAATATTAATATTTACCTGGCATGCAATAAAATGAATAGTAAACACAATATAAATTAAAAAAATACATCTGTGTAGCCAAATGTAGGTTGGGATAGTACAGATTCTTAAAAGGTGGTCTACATAAATCTCAATGCTCAATACCCTAATCATTTTTGGTGTGTCATTTTTTATATATATATAATTTACTGAAGTTTGGTAATGCTAAATGGAAACTAATATTGTGGATTTTTGGTGTTTAAAAGGCTTTCTTGATGAGATGAGTTTATATTACCTTACCATCTTACCAAACGTTCAGTGTCTACTACTCCTCTCTGCCAGTCCCTACACTGGCTTCCACTCACCCAACAAATTAAATTCAAAATACTAAAAACTTACAAAGCCATCCACAACTTGGCCCCCAGCTACATCACTAACCTCGTCCCAAATTACCAATCAAATCATTCTCTTTATTCCTCCCAAGACCTCCTGCTCTCTAGCTCCCTTATCACCTCATCCCATGCTCACCTCCAGGAGTTTTCCCACGTCTCTCCCATCCTATAGAATTCCCTACCCCATACTGTCTGACTGTCTCCTACTCTGACTACTTTTAGACGATCCCTGAAAACCCATCTCTTCAGAGAAAACTATCCTGTATCCAACTAATAACTGTACTTTTTTCTCCATCAACTCATCTCACATAGTTATTACCCTTTTAGACTGTAATCTCTGATTCCTCCTGTATTGAATTGTATTTGTAATTGTCTGCCTTCCTGTTGTAAAGAGCTGCGCAAACTGTTGGTGCAATATAAATCCTGTATAATCATAATAATTAATATAATTCATATTTTTAATTATTAATAATAATAATACTGATAATAATTATATATTATTTATATATGGCCCATTGTTTCAAGGTGATTTAATGATTTAGATACATTATTTTGGTTTATGGGAATGCTGCAATATCAATACAATATAGGTGCTGAGAAGGATCTTTCTGTTTATTAGCAGCAACTTTTATTATAATTTTATCATGTTACTGTATATAGATTGTCAGAGCAGAATATTTTTGATTAGCAGTATCTGATGCTTTCCACTTTAATTTTTTTGCAAGTTTATTTTTCTTACCTACACATTCCACGAGTGTCACCTGTCGAGCCACAGTTCTCTGTACAAGGAATGGAAGACCAGAGCCACTACCAGTAGTGCAGTCATCTAGGAGATCCTGACAAAATTGCATATCCATTAATTAGTATTAAATAAATACGTTGAAAAAGAAATACAGCATACTTCATTAATTTACAGTCTCCTGAATGTTGTGCATGTAAATCTACTCTTTCTTCAACACCTACTGTATACCCCAACAATCTGGCATGCTGTATTCAGTTCCTATTACTTCCCACTCTCTTTACCTCACCAAAAATAGCCAGAGAGACTACCAAAAACATTGGGGAAAATTTACTAAAACTGGAGTACTAAGAATCCGATGCAGCTGTGCACGATAGCCAATCAGCTTCTAAATTCAGCTTGTTCAATTACGCCTTCTTAATAAAACCTGGAAGCTGACTGGTTTCTATGCAGAGCTGCACCAGATTTTGCATGCTCCAGTTTTAGTAAATAACCCCCATTGTGTCCAATAGGGAGCTACAAAGAGCAAGAAGAGGCAGACTGCAACTTGATCATAAGAGAGTATATTCAATTGTAAACAGGCCCTCATTTATATCCATAGTTGCTACAACTGTGGAAAAATGTATCCTCAATTTTCACAGCAAAAGCACTGAAGCCATAAAAGTCAGTTCCCTCAGCTTCCCCTGCTGTCCCCTTCCAGAGCACCTGCTGTGTGGTTATGTAGAGGATTAGACAGGGGCGGACTGACAACTCATGGGGCCCCTGGGCAATAGGGGATCATGGGGCCCGTGTGTCCTTGCCCAAACTCAAAAAAGCCTATGAAAAAAGGTACCAGGGGCATCTCATGGGGCCCCCTACTGACCCCAGGCCTTCGGGCAGTGCCCGAGTTTCCAAATGGTCAGTCCGCCCCTGGATTAGTATACTGGAAGGCCACCAAGTCCCTGCTGGGAGCCGGCCTCGATGAAAGTGTAAATATTACAGAAAGTATAACTATACAGTACTTAGGGCTAGTTCACACCACAATTCCCATTTTCAGTGTTTCCACATCATATTTACACATGGATTTAATATGTTTGTAAGGCATTTGTAATGCATTCCAGTGCGGTTTTTATTCTCTTTAAAAAAAACTTTCATTTTAAAGGAGTATGCTAACATGTATTTTGTATGTATTTTTGTATGTATTTTGTATGTATTTCAGAGTGCTAAGGATGTCTGCCTTTGCAAGCACAATCATGGTGCTATATTATAATAGTGAAGTTTGGCACTAATTTCCTCAGTGTTAGTAGACTGACAAAAGTGATATGTTGATTCTATAAACCCAACTCCATGCAAAAAACAATGTGTAAATTATTGACATGAAAAAAAATTAAATAAATCAACTGAAAAATAGTGTAAAAAATAAATAAAAGATGTTAAATAAAGAAGTGTAGCTGCCCCTTTAGGAATACAAAAGTGCTCTTTCATGTAAAAAAATCATTAGAAAGTATAGGGCTCATACTCAAACATAAATAATGTCTTTGTGAATAAATTCCTATAAATATGCTAAGAAATCTCCATAAATAAAATTAAAAGGATGGTCAAATGGGCCTGGTATCCCAGAATCTCCAGTTCACTGCTCACAACTATCTTCTATGCATAGAGGTCTTCATAATACCAAACAGCTTTCTCTCGATGCAGAAACATAAAAAGTAATCACTCATAGTATAGTATTTATTAAAAAACAAAATGCCAGGTTTAAAGGTAAGAAAGGCACTTACTGTACATCCTAAGGTGCCCAATATGTGGGCAGCAATACACTCAGCGGGTGTGAACTGCCACTCCACTTCCTGGAACTCAGCATGTGTTCCAATAAATGGAACCGGAAGGGATGACACTATTAGATCCGATAGGATGGAATTACCAACTGCCTCTACATGTTTTGCCGATTGGCGTCTTCGGGAAGCTCTGGCATTTTGCTATGAGCGATTACTTTTTATGATCCATATTTCTTCATCGAAAGAAAGCTGTTTGGTACTAGGAAGACTTCAAATGCATGGGAGATAGTTGTGAGCAGTAAGCTGGATTAAAGATTCTGGGATACCAGGTGTCACGGATCCCCCACACGCACACGCCTACAGCGACTAGCTAACTGAGGCGCGCATGTGCGGCCGTGACTGGGGGTATGCGGGAATAAAGGAGACTTTATATATAAAACCATATATAAGATCAGCCGTGATATCCTTCCACAGCCCGCACTACCTCTGGCCACCACTGGAGGGAGACTCCACTCCAATCCAGCTGGTCGACCCCACACTGGCAGATGCAAATCTTATATACAATCTGGTGCACTGACTAGGGTTGAGGACCTGCTTAGTAATTACACACCCTTCTAGGATCCCTCCAGCTACCCTACAGCTTGAACCCCGGTGTTAATCACTCTTCCACTGTCCAAACACCCCCCCACACCAGAAACAACACAAAAGGTAGCCTGCCACCACCCAACAGTTTATCCGCAGAACAGTCTGCTGGGACACCCCACACACACAGATCTCCATCTGGCCGATCTGTTACCTTTTACATTCTGCACGCAATCTGCCCACACACAGAGCAATTGCATACAGATTGGCAATGAGCTTGACCGAGCGTTTAAAGGCACTAACATACAATACAATCTAATCTGATCCAATCTAATCTCTCCGAAGATATGAGCACATGCTTAAATACACAGAAGTCACTAATTAATTTTAAGATTTAATTTCCCGAAAGTGGGCAGTGCATAAAATATGTACAAAATATAAAAAGTTACAGAAATACAAAAAATACAAGAAGACACACAAATGACTATTCACTATAAAATAAAAGGGAATAAAAGACAGAATAAAACTTTACCAGAATTTACCCTGCGACTGGAGCAAGGCAGAAAAGTCAGCAATCCGTTGGTCGATCAACCAGCTCCATATGAATCGCAAATGTCCCAATGCCCGGGTACCCCATTTATGGGGATATGGACATAGGTGGGACATTAGTCTTTGGCCAATTGACCATGAGGGGGTGTTCCTGTACCTGCCCACAGGATGTTCTGGGTGCTGACCTGCCCAAGGTCAATCGGACTAAGAGAGGCTTGAAACACCAAGTCGGGGATTAGATTTCCGACACCAGCGCATCGGTCCGATCGCGACAGTACAAAACACCATTCGACTGTCGCAATCCAGCGCCACCTAGCCATTTCCTGCATTTTCCTGGCCTTCTTGGTTTTTATGTGCCGATGTAGCCTACAGAGTGCCCAAACAGAAGCGAGTATGTTCATCTCTCTGCAACTAATATTTTAGCTTTTATGAGAGATTAAACATACCCCTTTGATGTATGTAGACACTTTTAGCTCCCCAGGCAGATCAAGCCCCCCTGCTGTCATGAAGCCAAAATGTTTCCAGCCACTTCCTTTAAACCGGTTTCACCAGAAGGTGACAAAACCTTATTTAGCACTGTAGGCGTCACATCCAGGAAGCCCGGCTTTTCGGGTGCTAATTGATGAGCCTCTGTGTCTGAGTACATTTCCCCCAATGACAAGAACTGAATATTTATTTTTAATGACAAAGACTCAAACTACATCTAAGCTACTCAAATCTGTACATTTATGTCATCTGTACGTTACATCATGTCACATGTACGTAACACCAGGCGCATTTGATCTTCCTTTTAATTAAGGTGGTCATGATCTGTGGTGAGTGCATTTGATTGGCACAAGTGGTGAAGCACTATTTAAGAAGATTTCTTGGCACAGAAAAAGCTAATTTTTCTACTGTTTGGTGTGGTACTTTGTCACATTAATATTTATAGGAATTTATTCACAAAGAAATTATTTATGGTTGAGTGTGAGTGCCATACTTTCTAATAATCATGGTGCTAGCAGTTGCTTTTTTTGTGTACCAGTAAACGTACCAGAATGCACGTAGCTGTACGTTTTTGAATGCACTGGAACTGAAAGTGGTGCGAACAAGGGTGATCGGAACACTGAATTTATTTGTATGCATTCAGGATGGGTTTTAAAGAATGTACCTGAAAGATTCTGGCACGAACAAGTCCTTAAGTGAAATACACGTCTTGAAACTTAACTTATATTTACACTGCAATTTTGAAAACAAAATTTTGCCTGGAGTTCTTTAAATAGCCAAATGTTGCATTCAATATGGCTAACACAGCTAAATCTGTATGTTTTTATGTAACAGCTTAGTTTTTTTCTTAATGTTATAGTACTGCCATACAAATTATTGAAACCATGCTCTGATAAAATAGTTCTACACAAAATTATCTTTACCATTGGTCAGATGACTCACCCCTAAAGTGCTGTCACCAACAGTTGATGCATTTGCAATGTCAGCATTTCCAAAGTCGATGAGTCTGGCCAAAGGTTTTTTCCTGCTTTTTCTCCTCAGTTTCCAAAATAAGAACGTGAATAGTATGGCAAGGATCAGAAAAAGGACTACTGGGAGGACAGTTACAAGGACAAGACCTACTGGTTCTTCTACTTTCTCTTCTAGGTAAAAGGAAAAAAAATACCATTAGGTGTGAACTGAGACTAAGTTCAAGTTGCATAGTTGAACCTTTATTCAAATTAACATGCCATTCTCTCCTTGAACTAGAATAGGTTGATGTTCTTTACATTCATGTGAAGGACTAAAGCTGGCCATACATGCAGGGACCAGCCAAATTTCAGTCCATGTATGGGCTAGATAAATGTACACATGACAATCTATCAATTGACCAGCCTGTTGGGTTTTTTCAAAACGGTTAGCTCTATCAGCTAAAGCAGGCAGCACTGTTCATTCTGCCAGCTGGAAGACTCATCACCAGCACAATACAATAGCTCAGTGGAAGTGATTCCCCCATCCACATAGAATGCGTGGATGGGGAAATCAGTTAATTTTTTTTTTTTGTTCAACCTGTTGTATGAAATCATGTATAGCCAGCATAAGGAGAGCTTTAAACAGATATTTCCCACCCATAACCTAGATTACACATCTGCCTGTTTTCATAAAAAGTGTCACACTCCAGAAACAATCAAGACTTTTTTCAAAACTTTTTCTCTTCAGTTTGCCTGAAGGAGCAGAAGCCCATCTATTTCAGAATTTATCC